TGTTAGCGTAAAAGTATCGTTTGGCGAATTTTTAAAGTTAAGCGAGCTTTTGTTAGGCGAGGGTCCCTGTACTACTTTCTTTTATTTTCCCCTAGCTATCAACGCAACCTGGATATACCTGGACAGAGTTCCAGGGGGCAACACCCCCACCCAATCGACCAGGGCCCCATGCTGGGGTCAGGGCCCATCATCCACTGTTATGCTGGCGCATGCAATCCAACGTACAACCACAGCCGGCTGGGTTTGGTATGACTTTAGGTGCCCGTCCAGTACCTGCTTTCAGACAGCCGGGGTCATTTGGAACCCCCCTTTTTGTATGCTGGGAGGGGAGTGAACAGTCTTGGGCCCCCCGACACTCATTGTTTTTTCTTATCGGTTGTGGCACCCCCGCTTTTCATTGGGGGATGATGCATCGCCTGCCAAGTCTTTTGCTTTTGTAGGGAGTGATTTTTGCATGCAAATTTTGGGCTAAACCCTCTAGGGTTTTCCAAGTGTTATAATATGTATCTCTCCCCCTGCGTTCTAGGAAGTACAGGTTGAGGAGCTTCAAGCGTTCCTGGTAATTGAGGCACTGTATCGCACTTATGCATGCCGTGAAGGTTCTCTGTACATTTTCTAGGTCAGCAATTTCACCTGCCTTGAGGGTGCTGTTAGTGAGCAGCAAAACCACCCTATATAGAACAAGCGACCTGAAGTGTCATCATGGGCTTGGCATCCCTGGTTTCGAAGGTTCTCAATATCCATTTTGTCATTTATCTAGCAGGTGCGATTGATACAATGTTATGGTCCTTGAAGGTGATATCCTCTGGCATGATCACTCCCAGGTCTTTGACATTAATTTTTCACTCTATTGTGTGGTTAGAATTTGTTTTGTACTCCAATGAAGTTTTAATTTTCTCATGTTTTCCATATCAGAGTACAGTGGTCCCTCAATAATCATCCATAATCTGTTTCTGGAAGTGGGACTATTATTGCAATAGACGACTTTCGAATCAATTTTCCCCATAAGAAATAATGTAAATACAATTAATCCGTTCCTGACACCCAGAAGTATTAAAACAAAAAAAAATTTTACATGAAATATAGATGTAGTACATAAACAATACAATGGCACATGATGAATGAAACATTAACAAAATAACACTTACCTTTATTGGCAATTCTTCTTAGTGTATGGAAGACTGGAGGAGGAGACATTGAATTACTGTTTGGAAGGGGAATCCCCTTCCATCAACACCTCAGGTACCAATTGCTTTCTAGGGTTACCTCTCTTCTCTGTTTCTTAATGTCATTAGGACCAGCTTGAGAGTCACTGGAGTCCTGTCTCACAAAAAAACTGTCCAGAGAGCTCTGTTTCTGGAGTCTCTTTACAACTTCCCTAAAATGGGCCAAGACTCTGTCACTGTACAAGTTGCCGATATGGCTTGCAACATCCTTCTCAGGGTGATGTTTCTCCATAAATCTTTCCATCCTACCCCACATTTCAAAAATCTCCTTAATTTCTGAAGAAGGCAACTTCTTCCATCTCTCTTCCTCCTTCTCTGCAGCAAGATTCTGAGCTGCGATCTGTTGCTCTTCCTCCTGAAGCTCTTGCAGCTCCTCAGTGGTGAGCTCTTCGTTGTGGTCCTCCACCAACTCTTCCACATCCTCCAAACTAACATCCAACCCCATGGAACTCCCCAGTGCCACAATAGAGTTCACAACTGACATAGGCTCATCAGGGGCTGCCTCAAACCCTTCAAAATCCCTCTTGTGGACACAATCTGGCCACAATTTTCTCCAAGCAGAGCTCAAAGTCCTGATAGTCACTCCCTCCCAAGCCTTACCTGTAAGACTTATGCAATGGAGAATACTGAAGTGTTCTTTCCAAAAATCTCTTAGGGTCAAGTGAGAGTCTGAGGTCACATTAAAGCAAATTTGAAATACTGCTTTGGAGTAGAGTTTTTTAAAGTTTGAAATGACTTGCTGGTCCATGGGCTGGAGGAGAGGAGTGGTATTCGGGGGCAAGAACTTTACTGTGATGAACCCAAACTCCTTCAGAATTAGGTCATCCAAGTTTGGAGGATGAGCAGGTGCATTGTCCATTACTAGGAGGCATTTGATCCAATTTCTTTTCCAGGAGGTAATTCTTCACACTAGGGCCAAACACTTCATTGAACCATTCAACGAAAATGTCCCTTGTGACCCATGCCTTACTATTAGATCTCCAAAACACACACAATTTACTCTTCATAACTTGTTTTTCCTGAACACTCTAGGATTTTCAGAATGGTACACTAGTAACGGCTTCACTTTGAAATCCCCACTAGCATTAGCACAGAACTTGAGCGTCAGCCTGTCTTTCATAGGCTTTACTGCCCCTTTTGTGGAGTGGGGCTATGTCTGTTGTTTTTAATAACTGTAGGATGACCCCAGTGTCCATGCTCCCTGTCCAAGGGATGTTAAAAGCACGTGGTAAGAGCTTCTTGCAGTTCTTGATGAACACGGAGTTCCATGAGTCTGGGCCTGGAGCAGAGTGCATGGGCATGTCATTTATTGCCTTTTCAAAGTCACTGGGCATCGGGATAATATCAGATAGGTGTGTGTCTACCAAATTTTGTCTCTCTCTCATAAAAAATTCTTTTTCTAGTCTACATCTTCTCCTTTTCCTTAAGGGAATATGCCTCGAGCATACCTCAAGTGCCACAGAGTTAATCTGCTCAGGATATAGGTTAGGATCTGTGTTGCTTAATCTATCTTCCCAGTTTATATCATTTAGGACTTGGTTTACTTGGTCCCACCATATCTTTTTGTTATTGAAGTTGAATTTGGTGAAGGCTCCCTCATGACTGATCACAATTTGTCAGTCTGGGGCCCCCCCACACACATGTCAGGACCTCTATTATGCTGTGGTCTGAGTATACTGTGTTTGATATGATGACATTTCATATCAGATTATCATTGTTAGTAAAGATGAGGTCCACCATATTCTCCAATCTCATAGGCACTATTATTTGCTGGTTTAAGGTGAATTTGGTGCAGAGATTTAAAAGCTCTTGTGTGTGCGAGGTTTCATCTGAGCTGCCTCCTGGTGTTATCTCTGCTATAACATTATTTGCTATATTCCTCCATTTTAGGTGCCTTAGGTTGAAATCCCCCAGGAGGAAGATGTAGGGGACAGGAGCTGGAAGATTTTCCCAACAATGGTCAATTTTCAAAAGCTGTTCCTGGAATTGTTGGGACATTGCATCCGAAGGCTTGTATACAACCACAATGACCAGGTTTTGGTTCTCAGTCTTTACTGCTAAAACTTCAACTACTTCACTTAAGGCATTTAGCAGTTCTGAGCATAATAAGTGACTCTGTGATATACAGGCCAACCCCCTCCCCTTTTACCTGTTCACTGTCATATCTGTATAGGTTGTAACCCAGGATCCATATTTCATTGTCCAAGTGATCCTTTATGTGGGTCTCCGTGAAAACCGCGAACACTGCATTTGACTCTGTAAGCAATACACAGATGAAAGGTGTTTTGTTGTTCGTTGCTGGCTTTAGACCCTGTATACTTGCAAAGATGAATGTCATCGGGTTGGTGGTACTGGTGGTATGGGGGAGAAGGTCTTTTTTCCTGGCACTAATATCTGTTGTTTTGGAGTGGAGGCCATCGACTGTGATTCCACTCCAGAAATTATTGGAGTTGGTGTACGATTTCTGTCATTTCCTGCCAGCTTTTTTTCCTTCCTGATGCTAAAAAACCTCTCTGTCTGGAGTGGCTGTGGCTACCCAGGTTTTCCCATGGTCTGAATGTTCCGTGTCTTCTTGTACACATTAGGTGGTGTGTCTAGCAATATAATTTATAGCACTGTCTTCCCTGAACTGAAGAGTGGCACATTTCAGGGTGGAAAAGCTTACAGGAAGGGAGGTCGCATTTTCCTGTTGTCATATGGGCACGGCATTTTCTGGGGTGGTCAAAGATGCATGTCCCATCTGTTTTTCCAGATATTCCATACCTGCAGATACTAAGTGCATAGAATTTGCATAGACCTGGTTTCTGTTTGCCTTGGTTTTTTGTGACTGTATTCCCTACTGCATTCCCTACAGGTGCATGCTTTCCTGTCTCATTTCTATCTTCAGCACTAGTGCTAACAACGTAGCCTTCACCATTTTTTTTTTTTTCAACAAGTTGGCCATCTCCCACCGAGGCAGAGTGACCCAAAAAGAAAGAAGATCCCCAAAAAGAAAATACTTTCGTCATCATTCAACACTTTCACCTCACTCATACATAATCACTGTTTTTGCAGAGGTGCCAGAACACAACAGTTTAGAAGCATATACATATAAAGATATACAACATATCCCTCCAAACTGCCAATATCCCAATCCCTCCATTTAAAGTGCAGGCATTGTACTTCCCTTCATCAGTTATTTCAAGTAATTTATCTTCACTATTTCTCAGGGCATCCCTTTGTTTACTATCTCCCATGGTGTTGCTAGTTTGTAATATTGGTTTTTGCATGTCCTTGTTGTCAACACCTGTTTCCCCACTAGAACAACTGTCCCCCTCCAGGCCACCATCATTTATTTCTTTATTCTTACAGTTACTATCTACCAGGACAACATTTGTACCAGAGACAATAGTACCATTTGGCCCAGATTTTTTATTTTCCCAACTGTTATAGAATGCTGTCATGTTTTTTTATGAAGGTTGTTTTGATGTTATCATCTTTTAATATCAATGTGATTTTATTCCACACACATACCACATCCAGTGAGACAGAATTCTTAAAATAAGATGTTTTTTCATGTGCAACCATTCTAACATCTAACACAAACCATTGTTATCTAACACAAAACATTATTATCTAATGCAAAAACATTATCTTACACAAAAACATTCTTATCAAACACATTACAGTAACATGTCTCATTTTAATTGAAGATGCTTGTTCAAACACCATGTTTTACCTAATTAATCACAGCTCAATACTGTATTAAAAAATACAGGCAAATAAAAGACTCACGAGAGGCTGGAGGGCGGGGAAGCCAGGTGAAGGTGAGCAAGGTGGTCCATAGTGTCGAGCACCACTTACGACACATGAGGGAAGGTCCTTATGGCACACCTGCTGATCATTGCACCAGTATCAAAATATAAACACATACAAGCAAAGTTAACATCAATGTTTACAAACAAAAATAGCTTATTTTATTATTATTAACACATTGGCCATTTCCCACCAAGGCAGAGTGGCCTGAAAAAGAAAAAACTTTCATCATCATTCACTCCATCATTGTCTTGCCAGAGGCATGCTTATGCTACAGTTATAAAACTGCAACATTAACACCCCTCCTCTTCAGAGTGCAGGCGCTGTACTTCCCATCTCCAGGACTCAAGTCCAGCCTGCCAGTTTCCCTGAATCCCTTCATAAATGTTACCTTATTCACACTCCAACAGCACATCAAGTCCTAAAAACCATTTGTCTCCATTCACTCCTATCTAACAAGCTCGCACATGCTTGCTGCAAGTCCAAGACCCTCGCACACAAAACCTCCTTTACCCCGTCCTTCCAACCTTTCCTAGGCTGACCCCTACCCCGCCTTTCCTCCACTACAGATTTATACACTCTCAAAGTCATTCCATTTTGTTCCATCCTCTCTACTTCTCCAAACAACCTCAATAACCCCTCCTCAGCCCTCTGGATAGTAGTTTTGGTACTCCCGCACCTCCTCCTAATCTTCAAACTACGGATTCTCTGCAATATATTCACATCACACACTGCCCTCAGACAAGACATCTCCACTGTTTCCAGCCTTTTCCTTGTTGCAATATTCACCACCTATGCTTTACACCCATATAAGAACATTGGCATAATTATGCTCTCATACATTCCCCTCTTTGTTTCCATGGATAACGTTCTTTGTCTCCACAGACTCCTCAGTGCACGACTCAGCTTTTTCCCTCGTCAATTCTATGATTCAACTCATCTTTCATAGACCCATCTGCTGACTAACTCTTTCCTATACTCATTTTTAATTTCCTTCTTGTACATACCCTACCAAATTTAGCTATGTAGGCATATTTAGCTGCAATGCCTAAAACACCATTTTCACACAACTCTACTCAACAATACCGACAACACTCATGAGGTCAGATGTACAAGTCAAGACAGATCCATAGGTATGAAGGTAACTATTTCCTCCCCTGTTCAAGTCATTAGATTCATTACTAATCACAGCTGCATAGTACGGTAACATCACCAACCACTTAAATAAGACACACACTACATGTTATTCTTCTAGTGCTAGTGGATAACTAATACACATTATTAAAGTTTGCCTTCTCATTGAAACTACATAGCGCTTCCCTATCCATACTGAGCTCATATTTAATATTTATAATTCAATACAAAAACAATCCAAAAACAAAGCAATCAAACTAACAAAATCAGATGAACCCCTACTCACTCCAACCGAAACAGCTAACAGACTTAATGTTTTCTTCTCCACCATAGGAAAAAATCTAGCAAACAAAATACCAAGCACAAACACCCATCCATCAGACTACCTCATAGTTACCTACCCAAATACGCTATTCCTAGCTCCAACCAACCCCACTGAAGTTATGCTCATCATAAACACCCTTAAAAACAAGGCAGGAGACATAAACAACTTGCCTGCTTTTATGTACAAAAAAGATTCTCAAGTATTGTCACCAATTATTGCAACGCTCTTTAACAAATCCATTGAATCATCTACCTTCCCAACAATCCTCAAAATAGCGAGGGTCACTCCGATCCATAAAGGAGGTGACCAAGCTGACTTGAATAACTATAGACCAATATCTAACTTACCACTGCTCTCTAAAATCTTTGAAAAATTAATTCACAGACGGATCTATTCCTACCTCGTTTCACACAACATATTAAACCCTTGTCAGTTTGGATTCAGGAATAATAAAAGCACAAATGATGCTATCATACACATACTAGAACTAATATATACCGCACTTGAAAAGAAAGAAGTCCCGCTGGGCATTTTCATTGATTTACGTAAAGCTTTCGATACAGTCGACCATGAACTGCTGTACTCCAAATCAATGCACTATGGTATCAGGGGCCACTCCCTCAACTACCTAAAGCCATACCTTAGTAACAGAACTCAATATGTGTATGCAAATGATGCAAACTCTTCCACCCAACCAATCACAGTAGGAGTACCACGAGGAAGTGTCCTTGGACCACTCCTCTTTCTCATCTACATCAAAACTACTGTTAGAAAACATCTTATCTCCCTGATACACCCCATCAACTAACTACATAAAAACCACCTGGTGGTCCACATTTACACTCACTCACTCACCCATTTGACTCTAAGCACAGAAATACGTATCCTAATCTTAAAATAATGATTCCTAACTAGTCATAAGTTTGCCTGTGATACTCCAATATAGAAACTATGTATTGTGCCAAAACAAAAGCATTCACATTGCTAAACTCACAAACTAGTATTTGTCACTTCGTATTTAGTCACTTAGTATTTAGTCAACTTACTCCACAATTTGTTATAATTTAGGGTTAAGAATTAATCTAATGCCTAGCCATGCTAGGTGTTCTAGTGGCCCCCTCTGTAATTAGTATTTTACTACATGTAAACCACACAATAACCAAAATCTGTAAACCCTGCATTGTAATCCTTATAGAGAACAAATTTTGATTTGATTTGATCTGATGATCTACCGAATGCATCACAGCTACTCAAACCCATATTATTTGTAGATGACACTACATATGTCTTTTCTCACCCAAACACAGTCATACTAGCAAACACAATCAATGCTGAATTACAGAAAATATCTGCCTGGATGATGACTAACAAACTTACCCTGAACACTGATAAAATCTATTTCATTCAGTTTGGAAACAAAGCTACAAATGATCCAATTAACATAACGCTAAATAGATCATCAGTCACAAGACTCACAGAGGGAAAATTCCTAGGTATCCACCTTGACAGTAGCCTTAAGTTCCGGACACACATACAACAAATCACCAAGAAAATTTCCAAGACTGTAGGCATACTATCAAAGAAACAGTACTACGTTCCACAATCAGCTCTCCTGGCACTGTACCATTCACTCATATACCCTTACCTCACATACAGAATTTGCGCATGGGGGATCAACAACATTAAACCACCTAAGACCTCTAATAACCCAGCAAAAGGCAGCAGTCAGAATGATAACAAATTCCCACTCCCGCCAGCATACTCCACCAATTTTCAAAAGCCTGAATCTGCTCACCATTAAGAACATCCATACTTATTCATGTGCCTACTACATACACAGAACAATACACACAAATATAAACCCCCCACTCAAACTTCTCCTCACCAACCTAAACAGGACACATGACCACAACACAAGACACAGATATCTTTTTGATGTACCTCATGTCCATATCACACTGTGCAAAAACTCTATGCACATAAAGGGCCCCAAAATATGGAATTCATTACCAGAAGATATTAAAGTAACCAAGTCTGAAAATCAATTTAAGACTCTTCTCAAAAGCCACTTAATCACCCTAGACTAAATGCTAAATACTCAGTACACACTTACTCACCTATGTACTCCCACATCATAACTTAAACAATCACTTTGAACCTTTTATCCATTGTTGACAGGAATATAATTGAATCATTGTTTTCACAAAAGCATTTTTGAATATAAATATATCTTTGTATTATACAAATTTTGATTCATTTATAATTAATATTCTACTGTACAACTATGAAATATTTACTATCCTACTGTACAACTATGATATACTCCTTAGTGTTAAGTAGACTGTAAGCCAATAATGTTAAGTCGGCCCATAATGCCTAGGCATAATAGAGGCTCTCTTTGCATTGCAACCCACTATTGTAAATACAAAATCTCAATGTACTGTTTGCAAAGACATAAAATAAATAAATAAATAAATGAATGAATAAATAAATAAATAAATAAATAAATAAATAAATCTGTTATAAGAAGATAATCAATGTGTCACTATACCAAGATCTAAGTGACAATCCATCTTTACAGCAAACTTGCTGACTTTCTGACTTTCACAGTTCCAATGACTGACTAATGAAGAAGAGGTAAAAACAGTGAAAAATACACAACAAGACAACACTAGGCACACTGACAGATATCTACAACACCCGGGAGAGAGACTATCAGGTTGCCAATACCCCGAGGTTGATGCTCAATGTGGTTTTACAAGTGCCACCACTACATACACATTAACAATGAGTAAACTCTAATCTCTCTTTCTCCCATACACCTGGCATAATACATCTTAACTGTGTGAAGGATTAGCCTAGCGAAGATAGACAATATGTCACTTGCTAAGACAGGAATTAAATTGAGTACAATACTGTATGTAATGGAACCAAGAGCATTTTGACCTTCAACTGGTGCTACATGAGGTACAAAGGTGGAAGCCCTCAAGAAGGAACTAGAGAAATTATAGGGGAATAAGTTTACTGACTATACCAGGTACAGTGTATGGTAGGGTTATTAATGAAAGAATTAGAGGTAAGACAGGGAGCAGGATTGCAGATGAGCAAGGAGGCTTTAGAGTGGGTAGGGGATGTGTAGATCAAGTGTTTACATTGAAGCATATATGTGAACAGTATTTAGATAAGGGTTGGGAGATTTTCAGTGGATTTAGAAAAAGCATATGATAGAGTGGATAGGGGAGCAATGTTGCAGATGTTGCAAGTGTATGGAATAGGTAGTAAGTTCCTAAATGCTGTAAATAGCTTGTGTGAAGACAGTGAAGCTCAGATTAGGGTATGTAGGAGAGAGGGAGATTACTTCCTGGTAAAAGTAGGTCTTAGACAGGGATGTGTAATGCCACTATGGTTAATACAGTGGACCCCCGGTTAACGATTTTAATCCGTGCAAGAGGGGTAATTGTTATGCGAAATAATCGTTATGTGAATGAATTTTCCCCATAAGAAATAATGGAAATAAAATTAATCCGTGCAAGACACCCAAAAGTATGAAAAAAAAATTTTTTTACCACATGAAATGTTAATTTTAATACACACAAACTGAAAAAGGCATGCACACTTA